GATAAGGTGGAGGGTCAGAGAAATAGAGGAAGACCCCCAGCAAGATGGACTAGCACAGTGGCAGCATCAATGGGCTCAAACGTGTCAACAATTGTAAGGTTGGCCCAGGACCAGGCAGTGTTTCGTTCTGTGCACAGGGTCACTATGAGTCGGTACCAACTAGACGGCTTCTAACAACAATTGTCAGATATAGTGCCAGAAGGTGATTCCTTCTGGTTGACAGGCACTCAAAATACAACTGGGAAAAGTTGACTCTTCAAAGCAGAGTTGACCTTAATGATGTGAATGGAGTAAAGCTTCCAGAACCTTCATTCATTGCTGATGTGGTGCAAATCTAATTGAGAAGTAACAGCTGCAAGCATCATTAATCATCGGAATGGGGAATGTCTGAACTATGAATCTGTAGCTGTTGTTGTTATGTGCTGTGGAGTCAGTTCTGACCCATAGTGACCCTGTACAGGGTTTCCGAGGCTATAAATCTTTACAGGAGCAGAAAGCCTCATCTTTCTCCTGCGGAGCGGCTGGTAGTTTCGAACTGCTGACCTTAAGGTTTGCAGCCCGATTCATAACCACTACGCTACCAGAGCTCCTTGAACTATGAACCTAGGAGAATTGGAAATAGTCAGTAATGAAGTAGAATACATAAAGGTTGATCTCCTAGGTATGAGTGGACTAAAATGGGCAGGCATGACCCTTTTGAATCAGACAATCATATGGATTATTATGCTGGGAAAGACAAATTAAAGTGGTGTTGTTACGTGCCGTCGAGTCAGTTCCGACCCATAGCGACCCTGTACAGGGTTTCTGAGGCTGTAAATCTTTACGGGAACAGAAAGCCTCATCCTTCTCCCGCAGAACAGCTGGTAGTTTCAAACTGCTGACCTTGCGGTTCGCAACCTGATTTGTAACCACTACGCTACCAGAGCTCCTTAAAAGTGGCATCATATTCTTCATCAGAAGGAACATTTCAAGATCAGTCTGTCTGTGACTGGATAATATCCACAGCCATAAGAAAGACTTTATAGGCTTTCTGGTATGTCACTGTAGGGTCAGCATTGAACTATAGGCTGACAGTTCAAATCTACCAGCTGCTCCTCAGAAACCCTACACCGGCTGCGAGTCGGTACCGACTGGAGAACACTTAACAAGATCATAGGAAGACCAGTTAATATGACATTATTCAAATTGACCCTCCCACCTTTAAAGCCTATGATGACAAAATTGAAGAATTTTACCAATTTCTTCAGTCTGAAATTGTTGAAACATGCTATCAAGATCCATTGATCATTACTGGTGATTGGAATACAAAAGTGGGAAACAAAGAGGAAGGATCAGCTGTTGGAAAATATGGCCTTGGTGATAAAAAAAAAAA